CCAGAATTCCCCAGCCTGCCTGCTTTAAGATGGGGGGACTTCCAGAATCCCCCAGCCAGCATGCTTTAAGACATGGACTTCAACTCCCAGAATCCCCCAGCCAGCATGCTTTAAGACGGGTGGAATCCCACTATTCTCCAGCCAGCCTGCTTTAAGGTGGAATCCCACTCCCAGAATTCTCCAGCCAGCCTGCTTTAAGACATGTGGACTTCAATTCCCAGAATTCCCCAGCCAGCTTGGCTGGCTGTGGAATTCTGGGAGTTGACATCCATCCATCTTCAAGCTGCCATGGTTGGGAAACACTGGTCTAGAATATAAACCAATATGGAAGGTTTGCACTCCTAACCCAAATTCACACAATTCCTGCGGGCACATTATGTGAATCCAACCCCTAGGCCTTTCATCTGTTCTGATTAAGTCAGTTGAAGGAAGTTGAAGTCCATCCGTCTTAAAGTGACTGAGAAGTCCACCGTCTTAAAAACTCTGATTTACAACCATGTCCCCCTATGTCAGTGTTTCCCAAACTTGACAATTTTAAGGCATGAGGACTTCAACTCCCAGAATTCCACAGCCAGCAACGCTGGCTGTGGAATTCTGGGAGTTGAAGTCCTCATGCCTTAAAATTGTCAAGTTTGGGAAACACTGCCCTGTGTCACAGAGGAGCAGCTGTTTGGGGAAGCCTAACCCTAACCCGCAAAGTCTTGAGTTTAAAAGGCTGCTTCACCCCGAACCTGGCCCATCGCATTCTCAGCACCATTATTTGGGATGTTGAGGCTTCACCCCTAGGCAGCAGGATCAACAGGGGTGGGGTGAGAGTTTGGGGGAAGCACCCCAATGGGTCTTGGCTGATGCAATGTGTTGTAAATCGATTTGGGGGTCCCCCTCTTCTCCGCTTCCTTATAGGGTCAACCAAGTGTCTCCCCCAAATTTGTTGTTGTTGTTAATTTGCGTCCGACCCATCGCGACCCCATGGACAATGTTCCTCCAGGTCTTCCTGTCCTCTACCATCTTCTGGAGTCCATTTAAGTTCACACCTCCTGCTTCAGGGACTCCATCCAGCTATCTCATTCTCTGTCATCCCATTCTTCTCTTGCCCTCCATCTTTCCCAGCATGAGGGTCTTCTCCAGGGAGTCCTTCCTTCTCATTAGGTGGCCAAAGGACTTGAGTTTCCACTTCAGGATCTGGCCTTCTCAAGAGCAGTCGGGGTTGATCTCCTCTAGGACTGACCGGTTGGATCGCCTTGCAGTCCAGGGGACTCGCAGGAGTCTTCTCCAGCCCCAGAGTTCAAAGGCCTCCATTCTTTGGTGCTCAGCCTTTCTTATGGTCCAGCTTTCACAGCCATACATTGCAGCTGGGAAAACCATGGCCTGGACTCCCTAATTTCTCTGGGGTTGCCAGTTTGATTCCCTTCATCCAGAAGGAGGGAGGGGAGGAGGAGGAGGAGGAGGAGGAGGAGGAGGAGGAGGAGGGGGTAGAATAAATATCTCCTTCCCTTCAGCAGCCTCCATCTTTCCTGCAGAGGCTTGGCAGGGCAACCGTGAAGATGGCCTGGAGCGTTCCAGCTGCAGACTTGTCTCCTTCAAGGGCACAGCCTCCCTGCCCAGGTTGTGCCAAGGAGGCAGGTCCCGGCAAGGACTGGCAGGGGAGGAAACCGTGCCCCACGCCAAGCCCTGCCCCACCTTGTACATTCCAGGACATGCAGGAGGCCGTATTCTCCTCCTCCTCCTTCCTTCTCCTCCTCCTTTTTCTTCCTTCTCCTTCTCCTCTTTCTTCCTTCTCCTCCTCCTCCCTCTTCTCCTCCTTCTCCTTCTCCTCCTTCACTACCACACGACCACCGTTTCTCCTTCTTTTTTTCTCTACCACCCTCCCCAGCACATCTTCTCCATCTCCTTCTTCACTACCGTTGCTGTCTCTGCCTCCTCTTCTCCATCTCCTCTTTCTTCATCACCACAATCCCTCCTCCTCCTCCTCCATCAACACTATCCCCACTTCCATTGCTACGTCCACCTCCTCTTGTTCTCCCTCTCCTCTTTCTTCAGCCCCACCATCCCTACTTCTCCTCTTCCAACACCATCATCATTTCTCCTTACTCTCCTCTTCCTCCTCCTCCTCCTCCTCCACCACCACCACCACCACTACGTCTACCTCCTCTTGTTCTCCCTCTCCGCTTTCTTCAACCCCACCATCCCTACTTCTCCTCTTCCATCACCACCACCATTTCTCCTTACTCTTTTTATCCTCCTCCTCCACCACCACTACTATTACTTCTTCTCTTCTTCTTCTGTCTCCTTCTTCTTCCTTCTCCTTTTTCTTCCTTCTCCTTCTCCTCCTCCTCCTCTTTCTTCCTTCTCCTCCTCCCTCTTCTCCTCCTTCTCCATTTCCTCCTCCACTACCAGACAGCCACCATTTCTCCTTCTCCTCCTTCTCTTTTTCACTACCATTGCTACCTCTGCCTCCTCTTCTCCATCTCCTCTTTCTTCATCACCACAATCCCTCCTCCTCCTCCTCCATCACCACTACCACCACCTCCATCGCTACCTCCACTTCCTCTTGTTCTCCCTCTCCTCTTTCTTCAGCCCCACCATCTCTACTTCTCCTCTTCCACCACCATCATCATTTCTCCTTACTTTTCTCCTCCTCCTCCTCCTCCTCCTCCTCTTCCTCCACCACCACCACTACTACATCTTCTCTTCCTCCTCCTTCACCACTATTGCTACCTTCACCCCTCCCCTCTTCTCCTTCTTCTCTTTTTGAAGTCCATCCATCTTGAAACCGCTACTGTTGGGAAACACTTCTAGATGAATGCAGGGAATGGATCCAAAGACGGGTCTGATTAATTTAGCAGATAAAGCATTTGGCTTCCAGGCAGCCCAATTGCTGAGCAATTCTCTGTGGAGCCTTGAAACCTTTATGTAATAATGTTTTGCCATCTCTTCTTTGAAGGAAGTTGCTGGGACAGCTTCTTTATGGGGGGGGGGGGGGCTGGCTTTTGGAAGTCCTTCAAAGATGCAAACCACGAAAACAGATGCTGGATAAATCTTGGGATGGTTGGGTAGAAACCTTTTGAGTAAATATGTTTTACTATTTAACAGCATAACAGAGTTGGACAGACTGTGGAGGTCTTCTGGTCCAGGCAGGAAACTCTATATACTCTTGTTCAATCTCTTTTCGAAAACATCCAGTGTTGGAGCATTCACAACTCCTGGAGGCTTCACGGATTAATTGTCCTCACTGTTAGGAAGTTTCTCCTTAGTTCTAGGTCAGTGGTTCTCAACCTGTGGGTCGGGACCCCATTTGGGGGTCAAACGACCATTTCACGGGGGGTCGCCAAACAAGGCTGTCCGCCATTTTTTCCCCCTTTTCTTTGGCCACGCCCCTGGCACCCGGTGATGTATAAGTGGTTGGGGGTCACCACAACATGGGGAACCGTATTATGGGGTCACGGCATTAGAAAAGTTGAGAACCACTGTTCTAGGTTGCTTTTCTCCTTGATGAGTTTCCATCCGTTGCTTCTTGTCCTGCCTTCAGGCGCTTTGGAGAATAGCTTGACTCCCTCTTCTTTGAGGCAGCCCCTGAGATACTGGAACCCTGCTATCGTGTCCCCCCTCGTCCTTCTCTTCATTAAACCAGACATGCCCAATTCCAGCCACTGTTCCTTATATGTTTTAGCCTCCAGTCCCCTGATCCTCTTTGTTGCTCTTCTCTGCACTCTTTCTAGAGCCTCAACATCTTTTTTACATTGTGGTGACCCAAAATGGATGCAAGATTCCAAGTGTGACATTTGAGGGGCACTAACACTTGCCCTGATCTTGCAGCCCAGGACCGTTTCAGGAAAACCCTGCGCTTTTTTCTTTGACTTGAGCTGTGACAGGCACGTGTTACAGGATCCTCTCTGTCCCTTTTTACTCCAGCCTTCCCAAAACCTGGCTAAAAAGCCCAGCGCATTTGAAGGACGGATGTAGAGAGCCGAAAAAGCTGGTTTGGTCCAAACACGATCCTCTCTGACTGTCTCTGGAGATGTTCAGTCGTCCGGGTCATTTGCTGTCCCAAAGGTGCTTTTTCAAAAGGCCACTGGCCTTTCTTGTTTTTTCTTTGAAGATGTTTTGATTCTTGGAAAAGCACCTTTGGGACCTCTTCCCGGACAATATTATCCTTGTGTGCTTGTGTGAACATCCATCTTGTGATGTTTATTTACTCAACTGAGTGCCGAAACTCATGATGTGCTTGCAGCAAAAGGTTGGACCCTCTTCTCTTCCTTGAGAGCCCCAAATAATAACAACAACAACAACAACAACAATAATAATAATAGTAAAGTTGGAAGGGACCTTGGAGGTCATCGAGTCCCACCCCCTGCTCAGGCAGTAAACCGTATACCATTTCAGACAAATGGCTGTCCAGTCTCTTCTTAAAAACTTCCAGTGTTGGAGCATTCACCGCTTCTGGAGGCAGGTTGTTCCACTGGTTAATTGTCCTCACTGTCCTTCATAACTGGTGGACTTCAGCTCCCAGAATTCCTCAGCCAGCCATGCTGAGGGGAAAGGGAGAGGTTTCCAAGCTGAGCCATGCTGGCTGAGGAATTCTGGGAGTTGAAGTTCACGAGTCATGAGGGGGCCACAGTTCCCCCATGCTGGCTGAGGAATTTTGGGAGTTGAAGTCCACGAGTCCTAAAAGAGCCAAGATTGCCTACCCCTGCCCTAGATCCTTTCAGACAAATGGCTGTCCAGTCTCTTCTTGAAAACTTCCAGTGTTGGAGCTTTCACTGCTTCTGGAGGCAGGTAGTTCCACTGGTCAATTGTTCTCACTGTCAGGAAGTTTCTCCTTAGTTCCAGGTTTTTTTCTCTCCTTGATTAATTTAGCTTCTCCTCTTGCAGGTCTCTGTTTTCTCCTTCCTGAACTCCTTTGTGGCCTTTTGGGCTGTTTTATGATGATTTAGAAAAAATGATGATGGGTATTTAAGTAACCGCCCCCTCTTTCCCTTTCTTTCCTTCCTCTCTCCCAGCTGAATGAGTTGGACAAGGCGGCCGATGCTGCCCACACCTTCTTTGCGGCCAACCCAGAACACATGGAGGTCCAGCAAGACCTGGACAATTACAGGAGCCTCTCCGGGAAGGCGGTCGTGGTGGACCGAGAGGCTCAGCCACACCTGGTAAAGGGGGGGAGTCTGTGTGAAGGAGGGAGGGGGGGAGGGAGGAAGGAAGGAAAAGAGGGAAGAGAGAAAGAAGGAGGGATGGAGGAAGGAAAGAAGGAAGGAAGAAAGAAAGGAAAGAAGGGAAGGAGGGAGGAAGGAAAAGAGGGAAGAGAGAAGGAAGGAGGGAGGGAGAGAGGAAGAACAGGGAGGGAGGAAGGAAGAAGGGAGGAATGGAGGAAGGAAAGAAGGAAGGAAGGAAGGAAGGAAGGAAGGAAGGAAAGGGAAGGAGGGAGGGAGGGAGGGAGAGAGGAAGGAAAAGAGGGAAGAGAGAAGGAAGGAGGGAGGGAGAGAGGAAGGACAGGGAGGGAGGGAGGGAGGAAGGAAAAAAGAGAAGGAGGGAGGAAGGAAGGAAAAGAGGGAAGAAGGAAGGAAGAAGGGAGGGAGGAAGGAAGGAAAGAAGGAAGGAAGCTGTATTCGGAGAGGAAAGAATGATCCTCACACTTATGACCATCACAGCATCCCCATGGTTACACGATCCAAACTCAGGCACTTGGCAACCAAAATGCCTTTACAATAGTTGCAGCATCCTGGGAGGGTCACATGATCCCCATTTGTGACTTTTTCAGCCAGCTGTTTTGGCTGTATCAGCTTTTTGGGCTGCTGCTGCACACGGCTGCTCAGGGTCAAGTGATCGTCCACCAGGACTCCAAGGCCCTCTCACAGTTATAGTTTTTAAGCCAGGTCTCGCCTAATCTGTACTTAAACCTTTGATTTTTTTTCCTGCCTAGGTGTAAAACTTTGCTTTTCTCCACACTGAAACTCATTTTGTTGGATAGGGCCCATTGTTCAAGTCTGTCAAGACCTTTTTGGATCCTGAACTTGTGTTCTGGGGTGTTGGCTACTGCTGCCAGTTTGGTGTCATCTGCAAATTTGTTGAGTTCCCCTTCAATTCCCTCATCTAAGTCATTGATGAAGAGATTGAAGAGTTTACTGGGCCTAAGACGGACCCTTGTGGTACCCCACTGCTTACTTCTCTCCATGTGGATGTGATACCATTGAGGACTTGGGTATGGTTTGCCAGCCAGCTACAGATCCATCTGGTGGTGTTGCTGTCTATCCCACAGTTTTTCTAGCTTACCAAGAAGTAGATTGTGGTCTACTTTGTTGCAGGCCTTGTCGAAGTCTAAATATTTTGCTGGTCCGCTAATGGGTCACTTTGTCAAAGAATAAAATTCCGGTTCCCAGCTGTGGTGTTAAGTCAAGGACTACCTGTACAACTATGGTGTTCCTTCCCACATCTGCATAGAATCCCCACCTTGGAAGGTCTCCTTGAGGTCATCAAGCCCACCCACTACTCAGTGAAGGTACTCAGGCAGACGTTTCCTCCCCAGCCTAATGTCTTCTTGTCTCTTCCAGGAGAACTATCTGTCTGGAATCCGGCATTACGATCAAGAGGAATATGATTTGGCCGTTGAATTCCTAGAACAGGCCCTGGAGGACTACGAGGTTGCGGACACCGAATGTCGGATCTTGTGTGAAGGTCCTCAGAGATTTGAGGAATATGAATACCTGGATTATAAGGCCACTTTCTACGAGGCCATTGCAGGTAAGCCCCACAGCTCTGGTCCAAGATGGCTTCTCTCCAGTTCTCTTAGGGGTCTGGAGGTCCCTTCCAACTTTATTATTATTGTTGTTGTTGTTATTATTATTATATATGAAGAACGGTTGCAGGAATTGGGTATGTCCAGTTTAATGAAGAGAAGGACGAGGGGGGACATGATAGCAGTGTTCCAGTATCTCAGGGGCTGCCTCAAAGAAGAGGGAGTCAAGCTATTCTCCAAGGTGCCTGAAGGCAGGACAAGAAGCAACGGATGGAAACTAATCAAGGAGAGAAGCAACCAAGAACTAAGGAAAAACTTCCTGCAGTGAGAACAAATAACCAGTGGAACAACCTGCCTCCAGAAGCAGTGAAGGCTCCAACACTGGATGTTTTTAACAAGAGACTGGACAGCCATTTGTCTGAAATGGTACAGGGTCTCCTGCTTGAGCAGGGGGTTGGACTAGATGACCTCCAAGGTGCCTTCTAATTCTATTACTCTATGATTAACCCTGGAGGTTTTTAAGAAGAGACTGGACAGCCACCTGTCTGGAATTGTATAGGGCAGGGGTCTTCAAACTTGGCCCCTTGATGACTTGTGGACTTCAACTCCCAGAATTCCTCAGCCAGGCACACGTGCCTGGCTGAGGAATTCTGGGAGTTGAAGTCCACAAGTCATCAAAGGGCCAAGTTTGAAGACCCCTGCTCTAGGTTCTCCTGCTTGAGCAGGGGGCTGGACTAGAAGACCTCCGAGGTCCGTTCCCACTCTGTTGTTTTGTTCTTCTCTGGCCTGCCCTTCCAAAACCTGGGGGGGTCTTCCTCAGGAAAATGGGGGTCTCTCCTGACCCATCACTTCTGCCCTCCCAACTGCCCTTGCAAAAGAAGTCGAGATTTGGGGCCTGTGTGTTGGATCACGGTTTTCACAAAAGCTGCTTGGCATACACCTTAGCTGGATGCATCTTAGCTGGTGTGTACCCAATGCAATACAGGTAGTTCTTGACTTACGACAGTCCGTTTAGTGACCGTGTGAAGTTACAATGGCCCTGAAAAAAAAAAGACTCCTGACTGTTTTTCACACTTACGACCGTCGCGGTGTCCCCCGGGGTCACATGATCAAAACTCAGACGCTCGGCAGCTGGCTCGTACTTACGACGGCCGCAGCAGATCACGGGACCCCCTTTGGCGACCCTCCAGCAAGCAAAGCCCGTGGGGAAGAGCCAGATGCGCATCACAACCGCGTGACTTACTTAACGACTGCTGTGACTCCCCAAACAATTGTGTCAAGGAAAGATTTGTAAAACGGGGCCAAACCTGCTTAGTCGCAGTCTTACTCAGTGGCCAAAATTTTGGGCTCTGTTGCGATCGTAAGGCGAGGACGTTTCTCGACCTTGTGCCACTGGCTGGTGTTCATGACAGTTGCAGCCTCTGTGTGTGTGTGTGTGTGTGTGTGTGTGTGTGTGTGTGATGTGACCGCACTAAGTGAACTTCTCCGCCAGCTTCCGACGAGCAATGTCAATGGGGAAAGCAGTTTTCACACCCCTAGATGACCTCTAAGGTCCCTTCCAACTTTATTATTATTATTATTATTATTATTATTATTATTATTATTATTATTATTATTATTGATCATCGCACAGTCAGCCAGATGGTCAGACTGGATTTGGCATTTTGTCTACCTATCGAGTTCTTACCCAGGACCTGGGATAGGCAGATGTGGATGTTTGATGGTATTACATGTATTGTCGCAGGATGGAAGCAGTTCCTAGTAAGGCCGCCTTTTGCAATTGACTAATAGCGATGATTATTATTATTATTAATATTATTATTATTATTACCCCGTGATTTAGTGAATAATTGCAGCGGTTCACTTAGTCACTGTGATAGACAAGGGTGTGTACTTGGGTCTGATTCAGTGAACAATCCTTATGCTTACAAATGGAGATTCTGGCTCCGATTGGGTCATCAATCAAGGGTGATTTGATTCATCTGCTTTCTGACTCCCAAGCGGGCAGGCGAGCGTGTCTGATTGCTTGCACCAGCAAGCAGGGCCCCCGTTTCCTTGGGGACTGGATGTTCCCGATGCCTGGCGTTGCGTAATTCGACACAACAGAATGTGCTGACATAGCACACTCAGCTACAAAACAGCCCCTGAGCCTCCAGGACGATGGCGGCAGCAGTAGCAGCATCCTTCCAAACGCTGCGTGTTAAAAACTCACAGAATTCCTAAATTATTGTTCTGATGTGGTTCTGTGTTTTCCCATCGAAGGAGGTCTCACAGCTGTAAGGCCACATCTGGAACCCTGCACCTAGTTTTGGTCACCACCATGTAAAAAAGATGGTGAGACTCTAGAAAGAGTGCAGAGAAGAGCAACAAAGCTGATCAGGGGACTGGAGGCTAAAACATACAAGGAACAGTTGCTGGAATTGGGCATGTCCAGTTTAACGAAGAGAAGGACGAGGGGGACATGATAGCAGTATTCCAGTATCTCAGGGGATGCCCCAAAGAAGAGGGAGTCAAGCTATTCTCCAAAGCTCCTGAAGGCAGGACAAGAAGCAACGGATGGAAACTCATCAAGGAGAGAAGCAACCTACAACTAAGGAGAAACTTCCTGACAGTTAGAACAATTAACCAGTGGAACAACCTGCCTCCAGAAGCGGTGAAGGCTCCAACACTGGAAGTTTTTAAAAAGACACTGGACAGCCATTTATCCAAAATGGGGTAGGGTTTCCTGCCTGAGCAGGGGGCTTGACTAGATGACCTCCGAGGTACCTTCCAGCTCTATTATTCTATATACTATGTTCTAGTGAAAAGAAGGATGAGGGGTGACATGATAGCATCCTCCAATATTTGAGGGGCTGCCCCAAAGAAGAGGGAGTCAAGCTATTCTCCAAAGCACCTGAAGGCAGGACAAGAAACAACGGATGGAAATTAATCAAGGAGAGAAGCAACCTGGAACTAAGGAGAAATTTCCTGATAATGAGAACAACTAATCAGTGGAACAGAAGTGGCCTCCAGAAGTCATGGGTGCTCCATCACTGGAGGTTTTTAAGAAGAGACTGGACAGCCATTTGATTGGGGTGGTATAATAAGGTCTCCTGCATGGGCAGGGGGTTGGACTAGATGACCTCCAAGGTCCCTTCCAACTCTGCTATTTTGTAATTCTGTCTGGGGAGGGGTCTTATGAAAAACTCTGTTGTGTCAAGTGAAATGAATTGGTGCCTTTTCTGCTGCAAAGCTTTTTCTCTCTCTCTCTCTTCCTGTCTCCCGGTAGAGCACTGCATGCAAGTCCTGCAGTGTCAGCACGAGTGTGTGCGGCAACTCGCCACAAGGCCTGGGCGACTCTCACCCATCGACAATTTCCTGCCCTTGCATTACGACTTCTTGCAGTTTGCCTACTACAGAGGTAAGTCTGGCTCTTTCGGACTCCACGGCTGCACAGAGATCAGTGTTGTATTTTTCATTCAAAAGCTCAACTGTGCACAGGTCTCCAAACACAAGAACAGTCCTTCTGGGTCAGACCAAGCCCACAGTAGGCCAATATTGTGTTTCTCCTAGTGGACAACCAAGAATTTCCCTTGGGAAGTTGGATTTGGAAGCAGGCAACCCCCAGCCTGGAGGTAATATGGAGTCTCCAGGACCAGGAGACCTCAAAAGACCTTTCATCCATCAATTTTCCCAGACTGCTTCTGCTTCTGTTTCTATTCTATATCCTATTGCTTATTCTATTCTATTCTATTCTATATTCTACTCTATTCTATATTCTACTCTATTCTATTTTCTATTCTATACTATTTTATTCTAAATTCTCTATTCTATTCTATTCTATGTTCTGCTCTACTCTACTTACTCTATTCTATTCTTATTTCTATTCTATTCTATTCCATTCTACTCTATTCTATATTCTACTCTATTCTATTTTCTATTCTATTCTATTCTATATTTTACTCTATTCTATGTTCTATTCTATTCTATTCCATTCCATATTTTCTATTCTATTCTATTCTATTCTATTCTATTCTATTCTATTCTATTCTATTCTATTCTATATTCTACTCTATTCTATATTCTACTCTATTCTATTTTCTATTCTATACTATTTTATTCTAAATTCTCTATTCTATTCTATTCTATTCTATTCTATGTTCTACTCTACTCTACTTACTCTATTCTATTCTTATTTCTATTCTATTCTATTCCATTCTATTCTATTCTATATTCTACTCTATTCTATTTTCTATTCTATTCTATATTCTATATTTTACTCTATTCTATGTTCTATTCTATTCTATTCTATTCTATTCTACTCTGTTCTACTCTGTTCTACTCTATTCTATTCTATTCTATTCTATTCTATATTCTACTTTATTCTATATTCTACTCTATTCTATTTTCTATTCTATACTATTTTATTCTAAATTCTCTATTCTATTCTATTCTATTCTATGTTCTACTCTACTCTACTTACTCTATTCTATTCTTATTTCTATTCTATTCTATTCCATTCTACTCTATTCTATATTCTACTCTATTTTCTATTCTATTCTATTCTATTCTATTCTATTCTACTCTACTCTATTCTATTCTATTCTATTCTATATTCTACTGTATAGATATTCTTTATTCTACTCTACTCTATTCTATTCTATATTCTATATTCTACCTACTCTACTCTACTCTACTCTATACTCTACTCTACTCTAATCTAATCTATTCTATATTCTACTGTATAGATATTCTTTATTCTACTCTACTCTATTCTATTCTATTCTATTCTATTCTATTCTATATTCTACTCTACTCTACTCTTCTCTATATTCTACTCTATTCTATTCTATATTCTACTGTATAGATATTCTTTATTCTACTCTACTCTATTCTATTCTATATTCTATATTCTACCTACTCTACTCTACTCTACTCTATACTCTACTCTACTCTAATCTAATCTATTCTATATTCTACTGTATAGATATTCTTTATTCTACTCTACTCTATTCTATTCTATTCTATTCTATTCTATATTCTACTCTACTCTACTCTTCTCTATACTCTACTCTATTCTATTCTATATTCTACTGTATAGATATTCTTTATTCTACTCTACTCTATTCTATTCTATATTCTATATTCTACTCTACTCTACTCTACTCTACTCTACTCTATCCCATCCCATCCCATCCCACTAAGGAAGTTTCTAGGTTGCTTCTCTCCTTGATCTGTCTGATCCAGATTGTGGTCAGTCTAATTTGTGGCAATTTCTCCCTTGCTTCTGTTGTGACTTGGCTGGCCAGAATGTAGTCAAATTGAAAAGAAACCCTGAATTGTGGTTATCCCTCCTCCTTGCAGAGGGTGATTATGTCCGAGCCCTGGAGTGCACCAGGACGTATCTCCTCTTCCATCCAGACGACGAAGACGTCCTAGAGAACGAGGAGTATTATAGGAGCCTCTTGGAAGGATCTGTTGACCTGGAGGCCATCAAACCCAGAGAGGTAAGAGGCTTGGGTGTAACTTCGATGGTCCTTGGCCTTAGTAAGGAGCAAGCCACCTTTTGCAGGTCCAGATCGAAGTGGTGCTAATAGAAGAGAAGGATTGTAGCTCAGGGTCCAACTGTGGGGTCTGTGGTGATCTCTGAGGTTTGATGGTTTTCCTGCAGACATTTCATGACCCAACTAGGGTACATCATCAGTGCTAGAAGGGAGGGGGGTTTGCAGAGAGGAGGAGGAGGAGGAGGAGGAAGAAGAAGAGGAAGAAGAAGAAGAAGAAGAAGAAGAAGAAGAAGAAGAAGAAGAAGAGGAAGAGGAAGAGGAAGAGGAAGAGGAAGAAGAAGAAAAGGACTTTGAGGTTCTTGATGCTCTGAGCTGGGTGGTTTTCTTCCAAATGTTTCATGACCCAACTAGGGTACATCATCAGTGCTAGAAGGGAGGGGGTGTGCAGAGAAGAGGAGGAGGAGGATCATGGGGTCCATGGTACTCTCTGAGCTGGGTGGTTTTCTTGCAAATGTTTCATGACCCAACTAGGGTACATCATGAGTACTAGAAGGGAGGGGGCTTGGTGGAGAGGAGGAGGAGGAGGACTGTAAGGTCCTTGGTGCTCTCTGAGCTGGGTGGTTTTCTTGCAGTCATTTCATGACCCAACTAGGGAACATCATCAATGCTAGAAGGCAGGCAGTGGGTGGAGAGGAGGAGGAGGAGGAGGAGGAGGAGGAGGAGGAGGAGGAAAAAAATGATTCTGGATTCCTTGGTGCTCTTTCAGACATTTGTCTTGCAGACATTTCATGACTGGGTCACATCCGGAAGGATTTATACTCTTTGCAGACCGCTGGTCATTTGTCTCCTTTTACAGAGTCCTTGAGGCCACTTGGAGGCTTACCTGTGTCCTCAGGGTCACCTGAGTGGTGCAAATGGGTGATCTATCTATCTCCAATCTACCACACCGTCCTTTCTGTAGTCCCAAGAAGGCTCTACGCCCATTTGCATGGAAAGTGAGGAATGGAAGGATTTATATTTATATTTGCAAAGGGCCAGCTGTCTGCAAGGAGTATAAATCCTTCCCTTCTCCACCCTCCAGTCTAGAGCTGAAGAAGCTTCTGGGAGGAGAAGTGAAATGTCTTCAAAGAAAAACAAGGAAGTCCAGTTGCCTCCTGAAATGATGGAGGATCTGCATAGACCAGTGGTGGCAGACCTATGGCATGCGTGCCAGAGGGGGGCACTCGGAGCCTTCTCTGTGGGCACGTGCGGCTCACTCTTTGGCTAGGTTTTTGCAGAAAAAAGGCCATTTTTCAAGCCCCTTCCTAGCCATAACAAGCCTCCGAAGCGAGCACGCTGTTTTCAGCTTTGAATTAGATCAAATCTGACACCAGAAACAAGATTGACAGATGACCGGAGTGCTGCATGTGTTGCTCTCAAACTTACAAAGTGTGAGCCAAGATTAGACAAATGATCAGCAGGCATACGACAGCAAAAATCGCATTAATTGTTCCAAAGCATGCCAAATGCAAACTTTCACCTTTCGGTAAAAAGTTGTTTGTATCGTTGAAAGCTGTTATTGTTTTTCTTTTAAGACAAAAGATGTTAATGTATGAGGGTTTTTTTCTCAACTGAAACCTCAGGATTCAGATTAAATTGCCATGTTGGCATTCTGTGATAAATAAGTGGGTTTGGGGTTGCAGTTTGGGCACTCGGTCTCTAAAAGGTTCACCATCTCTCTCTCTCTCTCTCTCTCTCTCTCTCTCTCTCTCTCTCTCTCTCTCTCTCTCTCTCTCTCCTCTCTCCTTTATTTATTTTTTTTTTTTTAGGAAGCCGTGAGGTTCCTCCGGAGACATCAGCTGGAAGCGGATTTGCTAGCGGCCGCAGCCACCATCCTGGGTTTCCTGTACACGGAACCGGTGAGAACATGCTACCATAGTCACCAAGGGCAGGCAGAGCCGAGAATCCTAGCTTAGGTCTGGCCAAACACGGTCCTGCTTTGAGGACCGTCTTGGTGGTGCTGGAGATCATCTAAATCCAGGCTTAGCAAAGATGGGTGCGCGTCAACTTTGGTTCCCCAAGTCTGGGGAACTTAGAAACTGGGAAGGTGCAATTCACAAAAACCTGGTCAGCTCAGCGAGGACGGGGTTGGGTGCCTTTTGGCTTCATGAGCAGATGCTTGTCTTTCTAGGTTATACAGACCGGGGCTTTGCGGGAACGTGGCCCATGGTTTAAGCGTGGCAGGTTGTGTGTATGTAGCAATTGCAGGTTTTTTTAAAGGTGAATTCGGGGTTTAGAATTCAGTGCATGAATTTTGCAATGGGAGAGGGTTTTGGGACAGGTGTTTGGAAGGGATGTGTGGGTGCATTGTGGGGGGAGATCCTCCCTCCCTCCTTCCCTCTCTTCCCTCCTTCCTTCCTTCCCTCCTTCCTTCCTTCCTTCCTTCTTCCCTTCCTCTCTTCTGTCTTCCCTCTCCTCCAATTCTTTCTTTCCTTCTTTCCTTTCTTGCTTCCTCTCCCTTCCTCCCTCTCCTCCAATTCTTTCTTTCCTTCCTTCCTTCCTTCCTTCCTTCCTCTCTCCCTTCCTCCCTCTCCTCCAATTCTTTCCTTCCTTCCATCCTTCCTTCCTCTTTCTCCCTCTCCTCCAATTCTCCTTTTCTTCCTTCCATCCTCCCTCCCTCCATTCCTCTCTCCCTCCCTTGACTTCAGCTTCCTTCTTCCTCTCTCCCTTCCTCTCACTCCTCCAATTCTCCTTCCTTCCTTCCTTCCTTCCTTCCTTCCTTCCTTCCTTCCTTCCTTCCTTCCTTCCTCTCTCCGTTTCTCCCTCTCCTCCAATTCTCCTTTTCCTTCCTTCCTTCATTCTTTCCTTCCTTCCTTCCTTCCTTCCTCTCCCTCCATCTCCTCCAATTCTCCTTTTCTTCCTTCCATCCTCCCTCCCTTCCGCTCTCCCTCCCTTCCTTGACTTCAGCTTCCTTCTTCTCCAAATCCCTTCCTCCCTCTTTCTCTTTCTTTCTTTCTTTCTTTCTTTCTTTCTTTCTTTCTTTCTTTCTTTCTTTCTCTCTCTCTCTCTTTCTCTTCCTTTCTTCTTACCCACCGTAACCAAACAGCCTTCCTTGTTTCAGAACTACTGGAGCCCCTCCGGGTCTCGGCAGGACAGTCAAAGGTAAGAAGGCAAAGCTGATGTCAGGCTGAAAAACGTGTGTGTGTGTGTGTAAATTTCAATGCAGTTTGTGAATATTTGAAAGGGAATTACATTGGCATCGGGTGTATCTGCAGAGAGAGTCAGAAAAGATAGGGTGGAGGTGGTGACCCCACCCTGGAAGCCCCTCCCCTTTTTTCGATGGGCGTAAAAGGGGGTGGTGGGGCGTCCCTCTTGACCACAGACGCCCTTAATTCGGGGATCCTGAAAATGCCTAGCTGATAAAGAATTGGTGGGCTGGAGAACTGGAGAGGAAGTCTGCGTTTCAAGCTAATTGGGGAATGTGATTTATGACTGTTAACTGGAGGATGGAATTGTGCTTTGTTATTTTGTACTGGGGAGGGGAATTCAGTTTTTGGCTTCAACTATGTCAGTGGTTCTCAACCTTTTTAATGCTGCGACCCCCAACCGGTCGTAAGTCAAGGACTACTCAACCGGTCATAAGTCGAGGACTACTCAACTGGTGCAGCACCATTTGCAGAATGGGACTTTTGACGGGCTCAGCAGTGCAGAGACAGTCTGGACAAGTCCTATTGGCTTTTGAAAGCCAATAGAATTAGACTCTATTCAAGAGAGTCTATTCTATTGGCTTTCAAAAGCCAATAGAATAAAAGGGAGTAGCACAGCTAAGGAAAAGGGGGAAAAAAATGGCGGACTGCATTGTTTGGCAACCCCCGTGAAATGGTCGTTCGACCCCAAATGGGGTCCCGACCCACAGGTTGAGAACCACTGAACTATGTAGTGCCGAAACTTTGTTTCTCGAATAAAAGATTATTTAAGGTAAACAATGCCTCGGAGTTCTTTTAAAAAACCCACTTAACAACTGTCTTGCTTAGCAATGTGAATTTTGGGCTCAGTGGTGGCCGTACAGCGAGGACCGCCTGTATGATTCTGTCTCAAATTGATTGATTGACTTTGGGGCTTGTTCAGTCGACATCCAATCGGGCTTCAGGAATCTTAAGTTTGGGGTTCGGCCTATGGTGGGGAACCTGACCAGCAGCTCCTGGCTTGTCTTCCACAGGGATCCTTCCAGGCTGCAGGACTACCAAGCCAATGAGCTTGGGAACACCCCTGCAGAGCAGGATTTGTCCCATGTGGGGCACCCGCCGAGGGAAGGTAAGTCTCCCTGCACATAAGGGGGTCTGGGGACTCCATCATATCAAGAATGGGGGCAGGAATTGGGCATGTCGAGTTCAGGGCACTCCAAACGTAGGGTCACTTTAAGATTTGGGGACTTCAACTCCCAGAATTTCCCAGCTGGCTAGGGAATTCTGGGAGTTGAAGTCCATAAGTCTTCAAATGGCCAAGTGTCAAGGTAAGGATTTAACAGCTAAACAGCTTATGTAATGATAATGCAAGATAAGGGGGATGATGCAATGATGGGGATGGCTCAGCAGGGTCTGTATCCCTTTAAGAGCCTGAGTATAAAAGGGAAGGCCCGTCCTTCGCTCCCTCCCTCCCTTCTCTCCCCAGGAGGCCCCCTTCTGTTCAACGAGGTGCAGTTTGTCTACAATTCCCAGCAGCTGAACGGGACCCAGCGAGTCCTCCTGGACAACGTCATCTCGCTCAGCGAGTGTCAGGAGCTGGAGCAGATCGCCAACGTGAGTATCTGCCCGTTGGTAGGTACCAAAGCAGAGGACACCCCTGGGCAGGTGACAAGCTGAAGTCCATCAGGTTTGCCTGGCTCAGGGCTAGGCAACCTTGGCTCTTTTATGGCTCGTGGACTTCAACTCCCAGAATTCCTGAGCCAGCCATGCTGAGGGGAAAGGGAAAGGTTTCCAAGCTGAGCCATGCTGGCTGAGGAATTCTGGGAGTTGAAGTCCACGAGTCATGAAGGGGCCATAGTTCCGCCCTGCTGGCTCAGGAATTCTGGGAGTTGAAGTCCACGAGTCATGAGGGGCCATAGTTCCCCCATGCTGGCTCAGGAATTCTGGGAGTTGAAGTCCACGAGTCATGAAGGGGCCATAGTTCCCCCACGCTGGCTGAGGAATTCTGGGAGTTGAAGTCCACAAGTCATGAAGGGGCCATGGTTCCCTCACGCTGGCTGAGGAATTCTGGGAGTTGAAGTCCACGAGTCATGAAGGGGCCATAGTTCCCCCATGCTGGCTGAGGAATTCTGGGAGTTGAAGTCCACGAGTCATGAAGGGGCCATAGTTCCCCCAGGCTGGCTCAGGAATTCTGGGAGCTGAAGTCCATGAGTCATAAAAGAGCCAAGGTTGCCTACCCCTGGCCTGGCTCATCTCTGAGAGCATGAATCCCGTGGCCTCATAAGATAAGATAAGATAAGATAAGATAAGATAAGATAAGATAAGATAAGATGATAAGGTAAGATGATAACCTTTATTGTCATTTTTATGCTGTGGGCACAATGGCACACATCAAAAATGAAATTTAGTTGCCTGCTTTCAAAGTGAAACACATACATGACACACACCTAAAACATACTATGAACAACGTATGTATAGACCCACACCCCTACACATACGTAGCAAATAAATATTAAATATTGTCCATCTTGAATATCTAACGGAAGGAGGAAGCTTGAGAGTTCACAGGGTTCATGCTGTATGGAATGAAACTCTGGCTGAGTCTGGATGTTCTGCTTCGGATACCACGAAGCCCCCCTCCTCCTGGAAGGGAACAAGGAAAACAGGTCATGAAGAGGACGTGTCGTGTCCCAGATAATTTTACACGGACCCTGCTCAAGCAGCGCTTCTGTGCTATGTCCTGGATGGGAGGGAGGGAACTTCCAATGATCTTTTCTGCTATCCTCACCACTCTTTGCACTGCCTTCCTGTCTGAAGCAGGGATGCCTCCAAACCAGACCGGGATGCTATATGCCAGGATGCTCTTCATTGTCCCCCTGTAGAAAGTGGTCAGGACAGGGGAAGGAAGATGTGCTTTTCTCATGCGGTGCAGTAAATGCAGCGCTACAAAGGTGTCACATTGAAGGAGAAGCCACCAACTGGGTATCCCATAAAGCCCTGGGGGCTCCTTGTCTTCTATAACTGCCAGCAATCTTGGCTCTTCTGAGGTCAAGGACTCACTCTGAGGTCAAGGATTCACAATTGAGCTCAAAAGTTCCGTTGCTAAGCAGGACCGTTCTTAAGCGGGTTTTGCCCCATTTTACGACGTTTCTTGCCACAGTTGTTCAGTGTCAGCTTTTAGGGTCTGGGCTTTTCCTTCAGGGGGTCCTTGCCTGCTTTGTGGGATAATCGCTCCCTGGGACATTAGAATGACCCCACACACAGACGATTAGTGTCCAAGTTGTGACTCATGATCCCAACGAAGGAACGCACGGCTGAGACTTTCCAATCTCTAATGCAAAACTTTATTGAGCTCACTGTTTTGGCACAGATGAAAAGGAAACCAGCTCTGTCTAATAGGGGGGACACGATAGCAGCGTTCCAGTGTCTAAGGGGCTGCCACAAAGAAGAGGGGGTCAGCTTATTCTCCAAAGCAACTTTGGCAGGACAAGAAACAATATTTTGAAACTGATCAAAGAGAGAAGCAACCTGGAACTAAGGAGAAACTTCCTGACAGTGAGGACAATCAACCAGTGGAACAGAAGTTGCCTCCAGAAGTTGTGAATGCTCCATCCCTGGAGGTTTTTAAGAAGAGGTTGGACAGTCATTTGTCTGAGATGGTAGAGGGTCTCCTGCTTGAGCAGGGGGTTGGACTAGAAGACCTCCAAGGTCCCTTCCAGCTCTACTACCATCCGGTCTAGAGGTGAAGAAGCCTCTTGGATGAGAAGTGAAACATCTTCAAGGAAAGATCAAGAAAGCCCAGTTGCCTCCTGAAAAAGCACCTTCGGGACAACCCGGACCTGGATGACGGAGAATCTCCATAGACATCCAGTGATGGAGCACCCATAACTTCTGGTGGCAAGCTGTTCTACTGGTTAATTGTTCTGACTGCCATGAAATTCCTCCTTAGTTCTAGGTTGCATATCTCATTGGTTAGTTTCCATCCGTTGCGTCTTGTCCTACCCTTTGAGAAAGAGATTGACACTCCCCCTCTTCTTTGTGATAGCCCCTCAAACATTGAAAGACTGCTATCATGTCCCCCCCTGGTCCTTCTCTTCGTTAGACTAGCCATGCCCAGGTCCTGCAACCATTCTTCGTATGTTTCAGCCTCCAGTCCCCTGATCCTCTTTGGTCTTCTCCTGCAGAACATCCTCCTAGCTGGTGATGGCTACAGAGGGAAGACCTCGCCTCACACTCCTAACGAGAAGTTCGAAGGAGCCACCATCCTCAATGCTCTGAAGGTAAGAAGGTCTTGTGCCAAGCTAGGGAGGGTGAGGACATTTGGAGACCTCCACAGCTAGATTGGATCAGGGGTAGTCAACCTTGGCTCTTTTATGACTTGTGGACTTCAATTCCCAATTCTGGGAGTTGAAGTCCACGAGTCATAAAAGAGCCAAGGTTGACTACCCCTGGATTAGATCAAGTCCATCTGCAGGTCACGAGGGGAGAGCTTCTCTTCAGCTACTCCAGCTTCTGTTTGCTTGGTGTCATGGAAAAACCCAATGGAAAAGACAAGAGACAGCAACACAAAACAATCATTCTTCTTTGAAGATTCAGAGGTTTATTTTGCTAATGATTTGGAACGTAGCAAGCTTAATAATACAACGTTGCTTACATTGCAATGAGAACATGTGGCATAGCAGATTCCAAAAGGACAGCTATGGGCCAATGGCCAATCAATCAGATCCAGACCCAACTCTTTATGCCCTTCCCATCCTAAGACTGTAGTCAGATGGTCTGCTGACTTTTGCTGACTTTTTACTGACTTCTGTTGACTTCCTGGTGACCTGCTGAACGTAACTTTCCACATACCATATTTTCCGACGTATAAGGCGACCCGGAGTATAAGACGACCCCGAGTCGCATGCCTAGAAAGTCGTCTTATACTCTGGAAACTACCGTTATTTCTGGTGTATAAGACGACTCGGCATATAAGACGACCCCCAACTTTGGCTTTAGAAAATCGTCTTATACGCAGGAAAGTATGGTATATATCGGAACCCACATCCATCAGCTACTTTCAGTTTCCTATTTCTTACTGTTCCAGTCCTTATGTTCTAAATATATTTGAAACAAGCAAGCTTAAGAAAAATCATATCAAGAAAAGTACAACTGCAAACTGCAAAATTAAGCGTAGCACAAACTTTGGTTCAATACTTTGTCCATGAAGCCTGATTCAGTTTACCTGGGCCTAAACCCAACTGCTCTTGAGAAGGCCAGATCATGAAGTTGAAACTCAAGTACTTTGGCCACCTAATGAGAAGGAAGGACTCCCTGGAGAAGAGCCTGATGCTGAGAAAGATGGAGGGCAAGAGAAGAAGGGGACAACGGAGAAGGAGGTGGCTGGATGGAGTCCCTGAAGCAGCAGGCGTGAGCTTAAATGGACTCCAGAAGATGGTGGAGGATAGGAAGGCCTGGAGGAACGTGGTCCATGGGGTTGCGAGGGGTCGGACACGACTTTGCAACTAACAACAACAAACCTTGCATAAAAGAACAATAGCCAATATTTTCATTTTCCATATTGGTGTTAGCCCTTCCAGGTAGGACCAGTGAAGACACGGGCATGGCGCTCATCCCAGAAATGTCCTTTGTAGGTACTCCTTGATTTACAACAGTTCGTTTAGGGATGGTTCAAAGTTACAACAGCCACTGAAAAAAGTGACCTTTGACCGTTTTTCAGACTTATGACTGTTGCAGTATCCCGGGGTCACGGGATCAACATTCAGACAGTCAGCAACTGTCTCACATTTATGACAGCTGCAGTAGCCCAGCGGTCACGTGATCATAATTCGGACGCTGGGCCACTGACTCATATTTAGGACGGTCGCAGCGTCCCCCGTGATCCCCTTTGGCGACTTTCTGACAAGCAAAGTCCACGGGGGATGCCGGATTTGCTTAGTGACCGTGTACCTCATCAACTGCGGTGATTCACTTAACGACTGTGGCAAGAAAGGTCGTAAAATGGGGCAAAAATCACTTAAGGGTCTCAAAAACAGGAATTTCGGCTCAACTGTGGTTGTTAGCCAAGTGTGGGAAAAGGGTCATGTCATTTTTCTTAATACTGTTAAGAGAGAAAGAGAGAAAGAGAGAAAGAAAGAAAGAAAGAAAGAAAGAAAGAAAGAAAGAAAGAAAGAAAGAAAGAAAGAAAAAGAGAGCGAGCGAGAGAGAGAGAGAGCTTACTTTATCATTTGATTGGCCTGCAGTTTGGCTACGAGGGGCGGATCCCGTTGAAAAGTGCCCGCCTCTTCTACGATGTCAGCGAGAAAGCCCGGAAGATAGTGGAATCCTACTTCATGCTGAATTCCACCCTCTATTTCTCTTACACACACCTGGTGTGCCGCACGGCCCTGTCAGGTAAGGCTGGGGAGAGGGCATGGTTGAGCAACGCTGGTGTAGAGTGAGGGTCTCCAACACTGGCCACTTTTAAGACCTGCGGACTTCAACTCCCAGATTTCCCCAGCCAGCCATGCCTATGACTTTGCTTCTGCTCCCCTAGAGCGGTGAGACTGCAGAGAAAGGGATTAGAAGAGAGTCAGCAGGCCACAATGGGGATACACATCAAAAAGAATGCATTAGTGTCAGGGAATTCTGGGAGTTGAAGTCCGCAAGTCTGAAGGTGGCTAACGTTGGAGACTCCTGGTATAGGGGAGTGGGAGCAGGGAAGATGGTTGGAGTTAGCAAGATCACAACAGGGAAGGAATGTGTGCTAATTGGGGCCACCTTCTTGGTTTTTTCAGGTCAGCAGGAACGGAGGAACGATCTCAGCCACCCGATTCACGCGGACAATTGTCTCTTGGACCCGGAAGCCAACGAATGCTGGAAGGAGCCCCCGGCCTACACCTTCCGGGATTACAGGTGGGTGGGCCGCATGGGAGCTTGAAGAGGAGAAGGGATTTCAGGGGCTCCAGTAGTTTTCAGAAAAGACAAAGCTTGAGCAGATGGGTTGGATTAGATGACCTCCAAGGTCCCTTCCTCCTTCATTATTCTGTCTTTCCTTCCTTCTCTTTGTTTTCCTTTCTTTCTTCCTTCAACCCCCTCCCTCTCTCCCTTCCTTCCTTCTGTTTCCCTTTTTCTTTCTTCTGTCCTTCCTTCCTTGTTTTCCCTTCCTTCCTTCCTTCCTTCCTTCCTTCTTTCCTTCCTTCTGTTTTCTTTTTCTTTCTTTCTTCTTTCTTTTTCTTTCTTTCCTTCCTTCCTTTCTTTTTCTTTCTTTCTTTTACTTTCCTCCTTCCTTCCTTTTTTGTTTTCTTTCTTTTTCTTTCTTTCTTTCTTTCTTTCTTTCTTTCTTTCTTTCTTTCTTTTTCTCTTTCTTTTTCTTTCTTTCTTTCTTTTTCTTTCTTTCTTTCTTTCTTTCTTTCTTTCTTTCTTTCTTTCTTTCCTTCCTTTCTTTTTTCTTTCTTTCCTTTCTTTCTTTCCTTTCTTCTTTCTTTCCTTTGTTCTGTCCTTTCTTTCTTCTTTCCTCTTTCCTTTCTTCCTTCCTTCCATCCTTCTTTTTTTTCCTTTACAAAGAAGTTTTTTTTAGAACAGACTGCCATTTGTCTGGAATAGTCTCTAAGGTCTCCTGGGTTGGAGTATAAGACCCCCCCCCAAGGCCCCTCCCAGCTCTGTTATTCAGTTATTCCATCCCCTTCAAGGACTAATCCCCTCAGGACGGTGCTCCAGAAGGGAAGATGGAAGAACCACTAGCTTCTGCATCTGTGCGGCCTCCGCCCAGCCTGTAATGCAGACCCCTTTGCACGAGTCTCACCCATGTATATTAGGGGAAGAAGAGGCCCACCAGCTGGTCTTCAGCTTGACCTGTTGGATGGACGTCTGCTTCTTTCAGAAGAAGAGGCCACCAGTTGGTCAGCCTGACCTGTTGGATGGAGGCTCTGCTTCTCTCAGAAGAGGCCACCAGCTGGTCTTCCGCTTGACCTGTTGGATGGACGCTCTGCTTCTCTCAGAAGAAGAGGCCCACCAGTTGGTCTTCCGCTTGACCTGTTGGATGGACGCTCTGCTTCTCTCAGAAGAAGAGGCCACCAGCTGGTCTTCCGCTTGACCTGTTGGATGGACGCTGTGCTTCTCTCAGAAGAAGAGGCCCACCAGTTGGTCTTCCGCTTGACCTGTTGGATGGACGCTCTGCTTCTCTCAGAAGAAGAGGCCACCAGCTGGTCTTCAGCTTGACCTGTTGGATGGACGCTCTGCTTCTCTCAGAAGAAGAGGCCCACCGGCTGGTCTTCAGCTTGACCTGTTGGATGGATGCTCTGCTTCTCTCAGAAGAAGAACCAACTGGCCGGTCCTCAGCTTGACCTGTTGGATGGACGCTCTGCTTGATCTCCCCTTCCTCAGCCCTCCTGCTCTTCCTTTGCAGCGCTCTCCTCTACATGAACGGCGATTTTGAAGGCGGAGAATTTATTTTCACGGAAATGGACGCCAAGACAGTCACGGTGAGTAGCAAGGCCTCTTGTATCATGCACGTAGTCCTTCACTTACAACCACAATCAGAGCCAGAATTTCTGCCGCTAAGCAAGGCGAGTTGCCTAAGGGAGTCACGGTGCTTTTGAGGGGGGCACGTTTGTTAAGCGGCTCAGCCCCGTCGCTAACCGAATCACAAGGTCATTAAGCGAATCCAGCTTTTTTCCTGCTGACTTTCCTTATCGGAAACTCAGCCTGGGAGGCTGCGAACAGCAAACGATTCGCACCTAATTTTACGATGTTTTTGCCAGCATTGCTAAGCGAATCACCGAAGACGTTTAGTGACTCCTGCGGGCGTAAAGTGAATCCAGCTTTTCCCCATTGGCTTTGCTGGTCAAGGCCAGCTGGGTAGGTCACAAATGGGGATCACATCACACACACACACACACACACACACACACACACACACACACACACACACCGGGATGCTGCAAACATCATAAACAGACCCCTCCAAGTGCTCAAATTTTGCTCACAAATTTTGTCAAAATGGTGCAACAGTTATAAGTGCAAGGACCCGGGCTGTTATCACTTCGGATGGTCGCTAAACGAATGACTGTAACTTGTAGACCCACCTGTATACCAATGATAAGACAGCACGTTTTGGGGGGGCAGGCTGGGGAATTCTGCGAGTTGAAGTCCACCCGTCTTAAAGGGGCCAAGATGGGACACACACACACACACAAAAAAAAACACACCCTATTTTAATGGAAAGGAAATCCGCAGGTTCTATCCGTCTGTCCATCGTTGATAGTCCCCGGCTTATGACACCGGTTGCTTAGCAACCGTTCAAAGTTCCCACAGACTGCCCAAAAGGTACTTTTGACCTGCCCCTCCTCCCCCCCCCGTCACATGATCGCATTTTGGGCAATGGCAACACACACACACACACACACACATAAACACACACACACACACACACACACTGCATTTACAATTGTTTGCAGGGTGCCCCGGCAGTTGTGGGACCCCGATTCACGTTTTTGCTGAAAAAAAATCTGGAGTTTATTTCCAATGTTGTGCCAAAATGCCCCCTAATGAACAACGGGTTCGCTTCACGGCCATTTCCCTGGGGGCGAAAAAGAGTTCATAAAATGAGGTCCGTCACCTGCTTTGCGGCTTTCTGGGCAGGTGGCGTTACGGTCGTTAAGTCGAGGACTGGCTGTATCCGATAGGCCAGGGAAGGGGGAGGGAGGGGAGGGGGGGCTCCGTTGGGCCCTAATCCGAGCCGGGCGCCTTCCCTCTTTCTCCCAGGCCTCCATCAGGCCCAAATGCGGGCGGATGGTCAGCTTCTCCTCCGGCGGGGAGAACCCCCACGGGGTGAAGGCCGTCACCCGGGGCCAGCGCTGCGCCGTGGCTCTGTGGTTCACCCTGGACCCCCTCCACCGGGAAGCGGTGAGTGTGGCCCCGTCTGGGACCAGGGAGGGAGGGAAGGGAAGGGAAGGGAGGGAGGGAGGGAGGAAGGAAGGAAGGAAGGAAGGAAGGAAGGAAGGAAGGAAGGAAGGAAGGAAGGAAGGAAGGAAGGAAGGAAGGAAGGAAGGAAGGGCAGAGGAGAGGAAACAAGGAAGGAGATGGGGAGGAATGGAGCAAGGAAGGAAGCAGGGAAGAAGGTGAAGGAGGGAGGGAGGAAACGGAAGAGGGGGTGGGAGGGATGGATGGAGAAGGAAGGAAGGAAGAAAGGAAGGAAGAAAGGAAGGAAGGAAGGAAGGAAGGAAGGAAGGAAGGAAGGAAGGAGAGAGAAGGGCAGAGGGGAGAAAGGAAGCAGGGAAGAGGGGGGAGGGAGGAAGGAAGGAAGAAGAAGGAGGCAGAGGAAAGAAGGAAGGAAACAAACGGAAAAGGGGGTGGGAGGGAGGGAGAGATGGAGAAGGAAGGAAGGAAGGAAGGAAGGAGGTGGGGAGGAATGCAGCAAGGAAGAAAGGAAGGAAGAGGGGGAGGGAGGGAGAGAGGGAGGAAGAGGGGGAGGGAGGGAGGGAGGAAAGAAAGAAAGAAAAGAAGGAAGAGAGGAGGAGAGCGGAGTGGGTCAGTAGAGGCTCAACTCAGGAGCCCATTCACACCTTTGCAGGCCAACCCCTTTGAGGTCGGGGGGGGGGGCTGTGCCTCTAGCGAGGGGCTCCTGGGCTGCCTCAGTGGCCTCTCTTGGCCGGAAAAGGGCCCCCCCAAACTCCTCCCTGGAGTCACCCCTTTACTTATAAGCAGCCGCCGGCCTTGCCTGTTTTTTTTTTTTTCCTCCTGACTCGGATCCGGGACTATTAGTTGTGCAAGGGCGCCCCCTGGTGGCTGGAAAGGCAGAGCGGGCGGACGGCGGAGAAGCGGCTGTGCCGGGTGGGCGTCCGAGTCCAGCTGGAGGTTTCAGGAGATACGACGAACTGCATAATTAGGAATTAGGAGCTACTTTTCCTAATGATACCCCAAAGCAGGGGGGTCCAACCTTCCTTCCTTCCTTCCTTCCTTCCTTCCTTCCTTCCTTCCTTCCTTCCTTCCTTCCTTCCTTCCTTCCCTTCCTTCCTTCCTTCCTTCCTTCCTTCCTTCCTTCCTTCCTTCCCTTCCTTCCTTCCTTCCTTCCCTTCCTTCCTTCCTTCCTTCCTTCCTTCCTTCCTTCCTTCCCTTCCTTCCTTCCTTCCTTCCTTCCTTCCTTCCTTTCCTTCCTTCCTTGGTTTCCCACTTTCTCTTTTTCTTGTCTTTCTCCTTTCTCCTTTCTGTTTTTCCTTTCTTTCTCTTGTTCTTTTTCTTTGTCCCTCTCACTCCCTTTTTCTCTATTCCTTCCTTCTTCTCATTTTCTCTTTTTCTTGTCTTTCTTTCTTCTCCCTTCTCTCATTCTTTTTCTTTCTCTGTCTCTCCCTCCCTTTCTCTCCCTCTTCCCCTCTCTCTCCATCTCTTTTTATCTTTTCCTTCCTCCCTCCCTCCCTCCCTCCCTCCCTCCCTTCCTTCCTTCCATTTTTAAGAACAGACAGCCATTTGTCTGAAATGATATACAGGCTCCTTCTTACACAGAGGATTGGGCTACTAGATAGAAGACCTACAACATCCCTAACAGCTCCAATATTCTCTCTCTCTCTCTCTTTTCTTTTTCTTTCTTTCTTTCTTTCTTTCTTTCTTTCTTTTTCTTTTTCCTCCCTTTCCCCCCTCCCTCCTTCTCTCTTTCTATCTTTCTTTCCTTCCTTCCTTTGTTCCACTTATTATTATTATTATTATTATTACTTCCTCCCTTTCTTCTTCTTTCTTTCTTTTTCCATCCTCTTTCTTTCTTTCTTTCTTTCTTTCTTTTTCTTTTTCCTCCCTTTCCCCCCTCCCTCCTTCTCTCTTTCTATCTTTCTTTCCTTCCTTCCTTCCTTTGTTCCACTTATTATTATTATTATTATTACTTCCTCCCTTTCTTCTTCTTTCTTTCTTTTTCCATCCTCTTTCTTTCTTTCTTTCTTTCTTTCTTTTTTCTTTTTCCTCCCTTTCCCCCCTCCCTCCTTCTCTCTTTCTATCTTTCTTTCCTTCCTTCCTTTGTTCCACTTATTATTATTATTATTATTATTATTATTATTATTATTACTTCCTCCCTTTCTTCTTTCTTTCTTTCTTTTTCCATCCTCTTTCTTTCTTTCTTTCTTTCTTTCTTTTTTTTCTTTTTCCTCCCTTTCCCCCTCCCTCCTTCTCTCTTTCTATCTTTCTTTCCTTCCTTCCTTTGTTCCACTTATTATTATTATTATTATTATTATTATTATTATTATTATTATTACTTCCTCCCTTTCTTCTTCTTTCTTTCTTTCTTTCTTTCTTTCTTTCTTTCTTTCTTTCTTTCTTTCTTTCTTTCTTTCTTTCTTTCTTTCTTTCTTTCTTTTCTGGCTCCGGGTGCTTGATATCATAGGAAAACCATACAACCCATGAATAAAAGCAGAGATTAAAAACAGAATTCAGAACAAGTTAGATCTGAGTAAAAACACTCAGCCACTGGCTTGTATTTATGATGGTCGCACAGTGTCCCCGGGGTCACCTGATCCCTTTTGGCGAATCTTCTGACCAGCAAAGTCAAGCGGTTTCACTTAACAGCCCTTTGTCTGAAATGGTACAGGGTTTCCTGCTCCCTTCTCACTGCATACAGGTAGTCCTCACCTTACGACCGCTATTGATTCCTACACATTTCCGTTGCTAAGCAGGACAATTCTTAAGTGAGTTTGGCCCCATTTTGACAACTTTTCCTGCCGCAGTTGTTAAAAGAATCACTGCGGTTGTGAAATGGCCATCACGGCTATGAAATGAATCTGGCTCCCGCGTTGATTTTGCTGGTCGGAAGGCCGCAACAGGGGATCACGTGACCCACGGGAACACTGCGACCGTCATAAGTGTGAGTCAGTTGCCAAGCATCTGGATTTTGATCACGTGATCAGGGAGATGCCGCGAGGGCCGTCAGTGCATAAAACGCTCATAATTTATTTTTTTAAAAACTTCAAACTGTTGTAGAATTAGAATAATAACCAAGTCGGAAGGGACTATGTAGGTCCGTGGCGGCGAATCTATGGCACCGGTGCCACAGGCGGCACGCAGAGCCCTCTCTGTCGGCATGCGGACCGTCGCCCCAGTCCTGGACCTTCAGCTGGGTTTTATAAAACCTTTTCGCTTTAGGCCTCCGCCGCCATGTGCAAAAAAAAAAAAAAATGGTTCAATCAGTCAATTTCAACTTCTTGCGGGGAAAAAAAAAGATCTTGCAAAGTTGGGATTGATTGAACTTTTTTTTTTATTGAAAATTTTTAGATATTTTTACAAAAAGCAAAACAAAAAACAAAAAAAACCAACCCTCACCCAACCACCCCAACCCTCCCTCTCCATCCCCCCCCCCGATCTTCCCAGAGCTGAGTATAGGCTTAATTAAAATTTTTAAGAATATTTAAAAAATTGGAAAAATATAAATCATAAATATATCTAAATATCTTTTATATCTTTTTAGTCCCACCCAGTCTGCCATTATCACTGCAGCCACGCCCACCCAATTGGCCATGCCCACCTGGCACCCAACGATACATAAGTGTGTTTTGGGTTGCAGTTTGGGCACTCGGCCTCTAAAAGGTTCACCATCACTGTTGTAGGTCATCTAGTCCAGCCGCCCCCCCATTGTAAGTCAAGGACCAAATGTATTTTATTGCTCTGTTAGTTTACTTTAGCAGCTGAAGGCAGGACAAGAAGCAACGGATGGAAACTAACCAAAGAGAGAAGCAACCTAGAACTAAGGAGGAATTTTCTGACAGGGAGAACAATTAACCAGTGGAACAGCTTGCCACCAGAAGTTGGAAATGCTCCAACACTGGAAGTTTTTAAGAAGAGACTGGACAGCCCTTTGTCTGAAATGGTATAGGGTTTTCTGCCTGAGCAGAAGGTTGGTCTAGCTAGATGACCTCCAAGGTCCCTTCCAACTTTTATTATTATTATTATTACTTCTGTCCTGTTTACACTCTGTTTCTTTCTCCCCCCCCCCTTTTTTTTTTATTATTGCAAGCCATCCAGACTAGCTCTACAAATAAATTTCACAAATAATAAAATTGTCTTCCAGACCAGACCAGACCTTTTGAGAACCGTGGGGCTGACCTTCCACCTTGGCTGATCCTTCACCTCTTGTCCTCCTTTATCTTTTTTCTCCAGGAACGGATCCAGGCCGACGAGATCATCGCCTTGTTAGGCCACCATCCCTTCGGTCCCACCGAGCTGGACATCAACCCCAAGGATGAACTATGAGCCAGGTTGAAGACCTTCTACCCCATGGGTAGGCAACCATGGCTCTTTTATGACTGGTGGACTTCAACTCCCAGAATTCCTGAGCCAGCCATGCTGAGGGGAAAGGGAGAAGTTTCAAAGCTGAGCCAGGCTGGCTCAGGAATTCTGGGAGTTGAAGTCCACGAGTTACGAAGGGGCCATAATTCCCCCACGCTGCCTCAGGAATTCTGGGAGTTGAAGTCCACGAGTCACGAAGGGGCCATAGTTCCCCCACGCTGGCTGAGGAATTCTGGGAGTTGAAGTCTACCAGTCATCAAAGAGCCAAGGTTGCCTACCCCTCCTCTACCCGAATATTTATTTAATAATATTTGTTGTAAATCTTATGAGAAGCCTTTTTATTTTTGTACAGAGCTTTGGTCTAATTTAAAGATGGGGTGAAACGGGAAGGGCAGCGGGGTCCTTCCGTGTAACCTGCTCCATCTCCTCCTCCATGAGGTTCTCCAGAACTTTCTAGAGCAGTGTTTGTCAACCTTGACAATTTTAAGGCATGTGGACTTCAACTCCCAGAATTCCACAGCCAGCAATGCTGGCTGTGGAATTCTGGGAGTTGAAGTCCACATGCCTTAAAACGGTCAAGGTTGACAAACACTGTTCTAGAGCCTTCTCAGCAGTAGGTCAAGGACGTCATTTCTCTCCGCTGTCAGAAGTTGTGGGTGCTTTGTCGCAGAAGCAACGGATGGAACCTAATCAAGAAGAGAAGCAACCTGGAATTAAGGAGAAACTTCCTAACAGTGAGGACAATTAACCGGTGGAACTGCTTGCCTGCAGAAGTTTTAGGTGCTCCATCACTGGAGGCTTTTGAGAAGAGACTGGATAGTCCCTGGTCTGAAATGATATACAGTCTCCTGCTTGAGCAGGGGCTGGACTAGAAGACCTCACCGCACCGGTCTCGGGTGCAAAGTTGCTGGAAATCTACCTTCTGGATTCCCAGCCTTTGAAAAGAGCGAAACCTTTGAACTTTCAGCAGGGTGGGGTGAAAGATGGGTGGTTCTGTAAATGCTTCGAATAAATAAAATAAAATAAGATTTGGGCCGAGGAGAACCCCTCCCTTCTTCCGCTGGAATAACAGGAGTTTTACATAGGAAGGAAACCGAGGGGAATCGGACGGTGACCCCCAAATTTATTTCCAGGAGGAATAAATTAAACTCGGAAAACTAAGCCGCCTCCGTGTTTTACTTCTTCTCTAGTATGCCCTCCTCTTACCTCTTATCCAGTGAGTACAAGCAGTCCTCAAGTTACCACAGTTCATTTAGTGTCTGTTCAAGCTTACAGCAGCACTGAAAAGAGACTTGCAGCCGTTTTTCACACTTACGACCTTGCAGCGTCCCCCGGGGTCACGGGATCAAAATTCAGACACTTAGCCACTGACTCGTATTTATGACGGTCGCAACGTCCCCCGGGGGGGGTCACGTGATCCCCTTTTGCGACCACACAAGACAAGTCAGTGGGGGAAGACGGATTCGCTTAACGACCGCGTTCACGAACTTAAGAACTGCAATGATTCGCTTTACAACTGTGGCAAGAAAGGTGTGTAAAATGGGACAGAACTTGCTCAACAAGGGTCCCGTTTGGCCACGGAAAATTTGGGCTCTGTGGTGGTTGAAAGTCGGGGACTTCCTGTTCTTGTTCAATGCTTTTTCTTGGTTGAGACCATCTCCCCAAGTCCCCAGGTTGCAACTTTGGGGTGTGAGCCCCTCAATCTAACCATTAGTTAATTTAGTAGGTTCTCCTGCTCGAGCGGGAGGTTGGACTAGAAGACCTCCAAGGTCCCTTCCAGCTTCTATTCTATTCTATTCTATTCTATTCTATTCTATTCTATTCTATTCTATTCTATTCTATTCTATTTTCTATTCTATTCTATTCTATATTCTACTCTATGCTATGTTCTATTCTATTAGTCTATTTTCTATTCTACTTATTCTATTCTAATCTATAGTCTATTTTCTAGTCTATTCTATAGTCTATTTCTATTCCATTTTCTATTCTATTTTCTCTTTTATTCTATTCTATTCTTTTCTATTCTATTTTTTATTCTATTCTATTATATTGTATAGTCTATTTTCTATTCTATTCTATATTATTTTCTATAGTCTATTTTTTATTCTACTATTCTATAGTCTATTTTCTATTCTATTCTATAGTCTATTTTCTATTCTGTATTTCTATTCTATTCATTATTCATATTATTCTCTATTCTATTGTTCTGTTCTATTCTATTTTCTATTCTATATTCTATTCTATTTTCTGTTCTATTAGTCTATTTTCTATTCTTCTTATTCTATTCTACTCTATAGTCTATTTTCTATTCTATAGTCTATTTCTGTTCTATTTTCTATTCTATAGTCTATTTCTGTTCTATTTTCTATTCTATTCTATAGTCTTTTCTATTCTATTTCTTATTCTATTCTATAATCTATTTTCTATTCTATAATCTATTTTCTATTCTATTCTATTCTATACATTTTATATTCTATTTTCTATTCTGTTCTGTTCTGTTCTATTCTAGTTAACTAAATTAACCTTTAGTTAATTGAACCACCAGGAAGGGTTCTTCCGTGTTTGGAGTGCGTTTCTCCCCAGATGCCAGCAGGGGGTGCCCTTGTGACAGTTCCTATGCCTGTTGATGGCAGGAAGGGCAGGTTCCTTGGATGGGGTGTGTGTGTGTGTGTGTGTGTGAGAGAGAGAGAGAGAGAGAGAGAGAGAGAGAGAGAGAGAGAGAGAGAGAGAGTGTGTGTGTGTGTGAGAGAGAGAGAGAGAGAGAGAGAGAGAATGTTTGCTAAATCTGAGATGGCATCAGAGGCATCTGGGTGTGTGTGTGTGTGTGTGTGTGTGTGTGTGTGTGTGTGTGTGAATGTTTGCTCAATCTGAGATGGCATCAGAGGCATCTGGGTCTGCCTGGTGAAGGGAGCCCCCCCCGGGGGGGCTGAGCGGCCCCTCCCTGGGCCCTGCAGCTTCAGGATGAGGAAAGCAGCCTTCGCCACGCTGGGGTTGGGAAACCGGCAAATGTTCCACCACGCCTTGCCAGGATGAAAGATTTATTTACAATGAGGAGCTTTGCGATGGAAGGCAACGGATTATTAAATCTATCCCTGGGAGGTAGACTCCCCAGCGCTGCAGGAATCCAGTTTATCCCACACGCCGCCCCACCCTGGGCTGGAAAAAAATAATAAACAGAAAAAAGAAAAAAAACGGGGCAGGGTGGGACCCAGAGGGATTGGGCAACCGGAGCGCCCAGCGCCTGGAAAAAGCAGCACGTTGGGGAAACTGAGGAAAGGCAACTGTCTTCCCCACCGGGAGACAATCTGAGGAGCAAAACAGCTGACCCTCTCCCTCTTCTAAGGTGTCACCTTTGGGGAGGGTCTCCAGAGGTTGACCGGTGCGATTTGCCAGACCTGGAGAAGTTCAGGCCTGTGGCCAGAGGGGGTCAGCTTCTCTTGCACAGTTGCACGTCCTCGGTTCCTCGGCCACAGCTCGGATCTGGGGGCTGCCCCTGTCCCTGAGCAGCTCAGGGTTGAATTGTGGGGTCCTGGATGCTCTCTGAGCTGGGTGGGTTTCTGGCAGACGTTTCATGGCCCAACAAAGGAACATCATTAGTGCTAGAAGGGGGAGGAGGAGGAGGAGGAGGAGGAGGAGGAGGAGGAGGAGGAGGAGGAGGAGGAGGAGGAGGAGGAACTGGGGGGGGGTCCTTGGTGCTCTCTGAGCTGTGTGGTTTTTCTTGCAGACATTTCATGACCCAACTAGGTAACATCATCAATGCTAAAAGGGAGACGGAGGAGGAAGAGGACTGTGGGATCCTGGGTGCTCTCTGAGCTTGGGGAGGAAGAAGAAGAAGAAGAAGAAGAAGAAGAAGAAGAAGAAGAAGAAGAAGAAGAAGAAGAAGAAGAAGAAGAAGAAGAAGAAGAAGAAGAAGAAGAAGACGAAGAAGAAGAAGAAGAAGAAGAAGAAGAAGAAGAAGAAGAAGAAGAAGAAGAGGAGGAGGAGGAGGAGGAGGAGGAGGAGGAGGAGGAGGAGGAGGAGGAGAAGAAGAGGAAGAGGAAGAGGAAGAAGAAGAAGAAGAAGTAGAAGAAGAGGAGGAGGACTGTGGGGTCCAGGGTGCTCTCTGAGCTGGCTTGTTTTCTTGTTTCATGACCCAACTAGGGAACCCCTTCGGTGAATAAGCAGGGAATGACACCAGACAAACAAGCAGAAAACAATACCCTGATCAAGGAACTAACCAGGGGAAAATTATACCCTCACCAACACTGGCAGGTAAAACTGTTGTATATAAACAAAGAGCAACCCCCCTCCCTTCTAGATTGAAGATGCTACCCAGTTGGGTGGTGAAACATCTGGAAGAAAGCAACCTGTCTCAGAGAGCACAAAACACTCCACAGTCCTCCTCCTCCTCCTCCTTTCTCCTCCTCCTCCTCCTCCTTCCTCCTCCTCCTCCTCCTCCTCCTCGTCTCCACAAACCACTGTTGATATTACGTAGTTTGCTAATGAACGTCTGCATGAAAACAACCCAGTTCAGAGACCACCAAGGAACCCCCCCACACACACACAAAGATGGTTTGCTTGAGCCATTCAGAGGTCAGCAGGAACCTGCCCCCCCCCGACCTTCCCTCTCTCCTTGACCTTTGCAGATCCCCGGCAACAGCTTTGCAAGCCTCCATACCTAGAATCAAAATCACACAAAGTGTTAATACCACTTTATAAAGCCTTGGTAAGGCCACACCTGGAATACTTGCATCCAGTTTTGGTCACCGCGTTACAAAAAAGATCTTGAGACTTTGGAAAAAGTGCAGAGCAGAGCAACAAAGACGATCCAAGGTCTGGAGGCTAAAACATACTACGAACGGCTGCAGGATTTGGGTATGGGGTCAACGCTGCTAATGTCAGATGTTCTTGCTTTGACCACAGATGGAAATGCAGCCGTCTTTTCTCTTTCTAGAGTTCGTTGATGCTGGGAAGGGGGGTGTGTGTGAATGAGAGTCCAGCTAGACATAACAACACTAAACTTAGGTGAGAATCAAGGTCATTGCACCCAGAGTTGATAAAGATTTGGCAGGCTGGAGAGCTGGGGAGAAAGCCTGCGCTTCAAGCTAATTGAGAAATGTGATTTATG